CGGAAGGGGGGGGTGTGGGGGAGGATCCTGTAATTCGTTATCTCGTGGGGCTTATCAGCTGCTCTCTAGATAAATGCACGGAGATTAAATAATTTCCCATCAACGCTTTTCCCCCCGTTGGAAAAAACAAGACCCCAAGCCCAGAGGAAATCAAAGGGGGGGGTGTGGGGGAGGATCCTGTAATTCGTTATCTCGTGGGGCTTATCAGCTGCTCTCTAGATAAATGCACGGAGATTAAATAATTTCCCATCAACGCTTTTCCCCCCGTTGGAAAAAACAAGACCCCAAGCCCAGAGGAAATCAAACCTTTCCCACCCCCCGCCCCCTCCCCTCTAAACGTTGCCAAAGCGTTTTTTTTTTTTTTTTTTTTTGTTTTTTTTTCTGTTTTTTTTTTTTGCTGCGGGATTCGTCCCCCCCCACCCCCAGCCTCCCGACATTCCCAAACATGCTTCGATCCATGCGCTCCTCGCTCCCTCTCACCCGGCCGGGGCAGCAGAGTCCGGGGGGGTCCGCCTGGCGGGGGGGGCTCTTCTGGCACGGCCTGGCACGGCTCGGGGTGGCACGGCCGCGGCTGGAGCCTTCCCGGCCCTTCCTTCCTTCCTTCCTTCCTTGCTTCCTCTCTCCTTTCCTTCCTCCTTTCCTTCCTTCCTTTCTCCGGGAGCGCCGCCAGGATCGGCCCCGCTGGAGCCGCCGCCTCCGAGCCCGACGGGGACACCTGGGGGACACCTGGGGGACACCTGGGGGACACCTGGGGGACACCCGGGGCCACCCCCGGCAGGGACAATTCTGACCCTGCCAGGGACACTTGGAGGGGTCCAGGACCTGGTGCCATCTCCTGGCAGGGACACCTGGGGGACACCCGGGGACACCTGGATGGGGTTCAGGACCTGGAGCCACCCCCCGGCAGGGACACCTGGGGGGGAGCCGGGGCCACCCCCGGCAGGGACAACTGTGACCCTGCCAGGGACACTTGGAGGGGTCCAGGACCTGGTGCCACCCCCTGGCAGGGACACCTGGGGGGGTTCCGGACCTTGGGCCACCTCCAAGCCTGGCAGGGACAACTGTGACCCTGTCGGGGACACCTGGGGGGTGTCAGGACCTGGGGCCACCTCTGACCCTGCCAGGGACACCGGGGGGTGTCAGGGCCTGGGGGCCACCCCCGGCAGGGACACCTGGGACTCGTCAGCGTCTTGGGCCACCTCTGAGCCTGGCGGGGCCACCCGGGGGGTGCCACCCGGCGGCTCGGGGGGGCTCCAGGCCGTCTCGCCCCCCGAGGTGCCACCCCCGGGTGTCCCCAGTGCCACCGCCGGGGCGGAGCGCTGTCCGGGCCAGACTCTCCGGGAGAACGGGAACGAGGAGGAATTTCATGCAACATTCCTGGGCCGGGGGCGGCGCGGGAGCCGGGGGGGGGAGGGGGGCGGCCCCGCACCCTCAGTGCAGCGCTCGGAGAAGGAGCAGGAGGATCCGAGTGGGTTTTCTTGGCTTGGGAATGCCGCCCCGCCCTTCCCACGGCGGCTCGGGACAGCGGTCAGCTGTCCACCAGCTGCTTGAGCGCCCGCTCGATGTTCATGCGGTGCCCCACGCGGGTCACCCCCAACTCCACGAAGTCCTCCTTGGTCAGGGCGGGCAGGTGCGTGCCCTCGATCTCGTGGTCCTCGAACTTGTCCCGGTGCTCCACCAGGTTGATGCTCTCCAGCCAGTCCCCCACGTCGTACTTGTTCCACAGGTGCAGCGGCTTCTGCATGAAGGGCCGCGGCGGGTGCAGCGTGTGCAGCCCCGGCGACGGCGACGGCGACGGCGACGGCGAGCGGCTGCGGGCGCTGACGCTGCGGACCACGAAGCGAACTTCCTTGGGCTCGTGGGGGATGGAGAGGCTGGAGGATTTGAGGATGGTGGGGGGGGTCAGGCCGTAGGGCCGGACGGTGCTGAGGGGCTCGGGCCGCTCCAGCGCCGCGGGTTTGACGGGGCTGGGCGTGCGGCGGGTGACGGGGTAGCGGCTGCCGGGCCGCACGGTGAAGGTGGTGCCGGAGCTGCGCTGGGAAATGGTGCTGAGCTCTCCTAAACTACTGAAAAGTCTGCGGAGAGAGCGGGGAGACGAGAAAAGAGAGGAGAGGGAAGGGGTGAGGCCAGGTCTGGGAACCCCCCCAAGTGTCCCCAGCCCTGGGGACCAGGACCTTGCCCCTCGTCCCGCCCCGTCCGTTGATCCCACATGGAATGGGAGCGACCCAGCGGAGAACAGCTGGGATAAGAGGGAACCTTCCGGCGTTTTCCCGGGATGGGGGCACCCTCTGGACACCCCTGGTGACGGTCACCGGGTGGCCAAGGTGGCGTGAGCAGCCCAGGGGTGGCCGGGCCGGTGTCCCCTTGGCGCTGGGACATGTGGGACCCCCTGGCTGTGCCACCGCGGGAATCTTGGATGGGGACAAAGCTCCTCAAGGCGCTGCTGTCCCCTTGGCATTGTCCCCATCCTGCCGTGGTCCCCGCGGGAGGGACAGGGAGTGGGAAAGGAAAGGGATCTGACACCTGGATGAATCCCAGAAAATCAGAGTCCTCTGCTCTGGAGAGGCTGGGAGAGCTGGGAATGTTCTCCTGGAGAAGGGAAGGATCCAGGGAGAGCTTCCAGCACATTCCAGGGCCTGCAGGGGCTCCAGGAGAGCTGCAGAGGGACTGGGGACAAGGGATGGACAGGACACAGGGAATGGCTCCCAGTGCCAGAGGGCAGCCATGGATGGGATCTTGGCCATGAGGAATTCCTGGCTGGGCTGGAATTGCCAGAGCAGCTGGGGCTGCCCCTGCATCCCTGGCAGTGTCCAAGGCCAGGCTGGACACTGGGGCTGGAGCAGCCTGGGATGGTGGGAGTGTCCCTGCCATGGCAGGGTGGCACTGCAGGGGATTTGGGATCCCATCCCATCCCATCCCATCCCTGCCACTCCTCTTGTCCTCAGAACTGTCCCCTAAACTTCCTGCATCCCGGTGCCTCAGTTTCCCCGCTCGGCCTCCCATCCCAGCTCCCTCCTGGAAAACCGGGACACTCTGGAACGCTGCTGGGATCCACCACTGCCTCCATTGCCACCTCCTGGTTTTGGGAATGCTGATGAGCTCCAAGGATCCCATAAATCCATGGCTCCAGAGGGATGAGCTGAACGTGGCTGAAGATCCACAGGACGATAATTCCCGATAATTCCCGTTTTTCTGCTTCCTTGGCACAGCAGAGAAGGAATCACCTTCGGGAAGCTCTGACAGGGAAAAGCTGGATGTCCTGGGATCATTTGGATCGTTCCTGGGATCGCTGGGATCTTTCCTGCAATTATTCGGATTGTTCCTGGGATAATCTGGATTGTTCCCGAGATCTCTGGAATTGTTCCTGGGATGGCTGGGATCACTGCTGGGATTGTTTGGATCGTTCCTGGCATGGCTGGGATCATTTGGATCACTCCTGGGATGGCTGGAATCACTCCTGGATAGTTTGGATCACTCCTGGATCGTTTGGATCATTCCTGGATCGTTTGGATCGTTCCCTGCTCCTTGGTGAGGCTGCTCCAGTGTTCCGTGGTGGCTCTCAGACCCTTGGAATTGTCTCCCACAATTCCCATTGCAGCTTCCAACGGGGCTGTGACCACGCCCCAGCCTTGGTGTGGACCTGTTCCCAGCCTTCCTACGGATCTTCTTCCAAATCCTCTTCCAGTCTTCCTATGGACATTTTCCCAATCTTCCTACGGATCTTCCATCCAAGCTCCCAATGGATCTTCCCGACTTTCCTATGGACATTTCCTGACATCCTCACGGATCTTTCTGTGACCTCCCACAGATCTCCTCCGACCTTCCCGTGGGGTTTTCCCCAACATTCCAGTGGAGGCTTTTCCAACATTCCCAAGGACCTTTTCCCAACCTTCCTAGGGATCTTCCCGAGATCTTCCTTCCAATGGATCCTATGGATCTTCCTTCCTTTTGATGGACCTTCCTCCAATGCTGATCCCAAACATAGCCCTGACCCTGAGCCTAACCCTAATCCTAACCCTGATCTTGATCCCGACCTGACCCTGATCCCAGCCTTGACTCTGTCCTTAATCCCGATCCTAACCTGGACCCTGATCCCAAGTGCAAACCTGATCCCAGCCTTGACTCTGTCCTTAATCCCGATCCTAATGTGGACCCTGATCCCAAGTGCAAACCTGATCCCAGCCTTGACTCTGTCCCTAATCCCAGTCCTAACCCGGACCCTGATGCTGACTGCAAACCTGATCCCAGCCTTGACTCTGTCCCTAATCCCAGTCCTAACCCGGACCCTGATGCTGACTCTGATCTTATCCTAACCCTGATCTTGATCCCGACCTGAACCTGATCCCAGCCTTGACTCTGTCCTTAATCCCGATCCTAATGTGGACCCTGATCCCAAGTGCAAACCTGATCCCAGCCTTGACTCTGTCCCTAATCCCAGTCCTAACCCGGACCCTGATGCTGACTCTGATCTTAGCCCTGAATCTGACCCTGATCCCAGCCTTGACTCTGTCCCTAATCCCAGTCCTAACCCGGACCCTGATGCTGACTCTGATTTTAGCCCTGAATCTGACCCTGATCCCACCCCTGACCCTGACACTGATCCCAACCCTGATCTTGATCCTGATCCTAACCCCGATCCTAACCCTGATCCCAACCCTGACCCTGATCCTGATCCTAACCTCGATCCTAACCCCGATCCTAACCCCGATCCTAACCCTGATCCCAACCGTGACCCTGATCCTAACCCTGATCCCAACCGTGACCCTGATCCTAACCCTGATCCCAACCCTGATCCTAACCCCGATCCTAACCCTGATCCCAACCCTGACCCTGATCCTAACCCTGATCCCAACCCTGATCC